ATCACATATCATGACCCCGGGGGAGGGGGGACGTGCATCTCTAGGCTTAGACAACGAAATATGGCTCCCGGGTTTTTTTATATAGATTGTAGGCAATATCACCATGAGGTTATATTTATTTCGTTTATTTGGGGAACATAGGGCTTACCTTGAAACATTTTTACACCCCATTTTCTATTTCTCTTTGTTGACGTGGATTGCCTGCTTTCGTCAAGTTGTAGCAAGTCTTGATCTGATAATTTCTTGAATCTTGACGGTGCTAGCATTAGACCTTTGTTGTCTTGTAAAGCCATTTCCATATCTTGAGTTGCAGTTTTGGGAGTAGTTGAAGCCGTAATCTCAATCAAATTTTCTATTTCTTCCAGATTAAAACCATCTAGAAAATCTAAGGCATCGAATCCGGGACCAAATATAGCATTGTCTCCAGATTGATGCTCAAATACACTCTTTGAATCTCCTACATCAAAATTTCCGTAGTTGAAGTCGGCCATATTGTTGCTTTGTACTCAAGACGACGCAGACGATTGTTTCTGGACTGCGCGTGATAAATACGGTAACTACGGAAACCAGACAAGACATACATACCTGTAAACTCTTTATTAACTTTGAATCATGTGATTTGTGTGTTGTTGTTGATTTGTTTGATACCCCAAAATAACACTAAAATGTTACTAGGCCTGATAACTTCAAGAAGATACAGGTGCGCAGAAAGGGAATTCTCTCCACTGTACGCTGGGATTCCGCAGTGATAACAGTAGTCCGCTTCGGTAGGCGTGGCTTATTTTTTTACATTCATTGCGAAATGAATGCAACAACACGTGACCAATTCAGCTAATCAGAATGCAGGAATTTCAATGAACACAGCGAAAATTTAATTATTATTCAATAAACACCTCTTTCTCCATATATGATACATAAACACATACAGAGATTGGAGTGTCTGGCATACAATTGAAATCCGTGAACTATATTTTAAGACCTGTGATATTGTATACATGATTTCATGGTATCTTGTTGGAGGTATACCCGCAATAAACTATCACAGTTGCAAATCTCTCCCCACCCAGAACCCTTAAAATTTGTATGAAATTTATTGTGCAGTATTTCCAGTCTGTTTGTTGTAATAACCTTGAGAAACATCATCTGCTGACTTCACACTCTCTGAGTACATGTATGTATGTGGTACAAAAGCCCCATCACATGGCAAATCTTGGCAGGGCTTGGCGGATCTCTGGGGTCACTGGAGTTGCTGGTGTAGTGTCTGTAATTTATAAGATACATATGCTTCCAATTTACCAATTTCTCTTCGTGGTAAAAAGGCAAAATCTACAAAACTTATGGTTACTAATGGAACGATTAATCAAATGTCAAAATCAACATTAAGTATATATTTCATCTTTTATCTTACATGACACAATTACCTTTACTATATCTCTCTGACTGGGTTGATGCATGCCAATGATCCTAGTTGCGCGGATCGATGCTCATTATGTCAGTCACTGGATTGACTCGATTATTGAGACCGCCGTCATATAGCTGAAATATTGTTGGATTTGCTCAAATAAATCGCATTGCGGTAAGTTCTTTCATGAATGCATATGAATATTCATAGAATGTTTCCTTACTCACTTAATCAAACAGATCCGATGAAGCGTTGAATTCGGATTCACCGGATTGATCGAAAAGATCAGTCGATCCATCCATTTCATTTTCTGCATTTTCTTTATCAGAATCAGGTGCGCGCACTGGACGGTACACACTGCTGATGAAACTGAATAAAAGGAACTTAAATATTTTTTTCTGATAATGTTCTCAACAAAATAACTATCATACAGTCCTTTATTCGTGCCATACCTTGGCAAAGATGCCTTCACCCCTCTCCAAGTTGATTCTATTTTATTTGTACATGCCCCTGTTTCTGAATTTACAAATTCTACACTGGTTAAGTTTTTTATGTATGTACTACATCCCCTCCAAAGATTCTAAGCAGTCATAAGCCTTCCAACAGTCCGAATGAATTATTGATCCCGGTTTAACCCGACCGTTAATAATTGGGATCAATGTTTCGCAATTTCGTTTCTCAACAGCAGTGATGAACATCTTGCTAGAACTTTTTTCAATCCCACCAAACACCCAAACACCATCAACTCTCCTCCCCCTGTGAAACTTTCTTTTCCCAAATTTTTATTCCTCAATTTCTACTTCTACCCCAGGTCCCTCAATAGCCTCATCCTACCAAAATTTCCAAACAAACCTCCCTGCAAAAGTTCTACCAATCGACCAAAGTGTGATCAGAACCAAGTTTCAACTGAACTTTAACAAAATCTTCTCCAGACCTGTAAACCCAATAAAAGGTAATTTTTAAAATGTCAAGAATGGACAAATTAGAATTATAAAACCAGAAGAAAGCTTCAGTGAAATCTTATGATGACACCTCTTGTTACTACACCTCCACACATACCCCTCACCCCTACTGCAGTCCCTCCTCCTGCTAATCACACCATTCTCACACTTACAGCAAGGCCCTCCAAACTGTCCTATCACGCCTACATCCTCTAACCAGTCCAAAAGTCTCCCCTTATCCCTGCACAATTCATACAAATCATCATACACAATCCTACTGTCAGATATTCTTGAAAAGTAATTGAGCAAAGTGACAAAATATATACCATCCGTGCAAAGTACTACGAGCGTAGTGGCGTTCGTAGTTACGAGTCCATATAAGGAAAGTCACATGATCAGTTACGTGACGTCTTACGTCATTTATGTCCCGCCCACAAAGAACACGAAGTCGACACCTCGAGAATACGGGTTTACTTTCTATCGAAAACTCTCGGACCTCTTTGGGGTCCTTTTAGGGTCCTTTTTGCTCAAAAATGCCTCCTAACGGATTTTCGTGCGCGCTTATGTATACGAAACACCCGAAGTGGGTACCCAAATACTGCAGTTGACCCCAGCTTTTACTCCTTGGGCGTTTTACTGTCGATGACTGACTCGAATCCATGATCGGGTGATAATAATATCACTGGCGTCGTCTGCTGACAGAGTGAAGGGATTCCCCTGTAAAGTAATGACGTCATTGGGAAAATCCCCCTATATTCCCACCTCCATCACTGGAGAGCGACGATTTTAACAACCAAACCAACCATCTTGCATACAACCTCTTGCTGTTAGTTGCTAACGTGTGATCTTTGGTATACTCGCTGTACAGCTGATCAGTTGGTATACTACCAGCATCTCTGTATTCTACAGTTAAAAACAACCTGTGCAAGAAGGAAAATATGCTATTACAAAATACAGAAACACATGTGAGACCAATTTTTATAAATTTCAGTTTGTACTTGAAGTAAAGGAACATCTATCTGAATAAAAAGAAAAAAGAAAACACTAGATTGTAGGTTACTAGGTTGAATTCTGTTATTGTCTCTTCCTGGACACAAAATCAAATTGGACTCTATTAGCTGCCTGGTGATGTCTTTCACTAAAAGGTGGCCTATGGAAATTGTGAAGGCAATATTGTTATTTTTAACCAGTTGACTTAAAGATATTTGATAGCAACCAATTTCCATCTTTCTCATTTCATGTATACTCAATTTAATACCATAATGGAGATTTGAGCATGTTTAATGAATAGAATTATTACCTTACACTTATACCATATTTATTTATTGTTTGTTTGTTGTTTTATGCCGCACTCAGTTATTTTCCAGCGGCCTGTAAATAATCGAGTCTCGACTATACAAACCAGCGATTGATATCATAAGCATCGATCCATGGATTTTGGATAGGATGACATGCATCAACCAAGTCAGCGAGAGAGACGAGCTGCTTTCCACGCCTCATATTTATACCCGTAACATACCCAAGCTAATTACCTCCCACAGCCATTGCATACCGCTAAGGAGAAAGCAGTTTCTCTTATTCATAATGCACTCAATCGAGAGAAACATCATTTCTTCGCTCCATACCCGTGAAGGTCCGGGATAGAATGGTCTTCAGCAACCCATGCTTGCCGTAAAAGGTGACTATGCTTGAGGTAAAAGGCGACTAACGGGATCGGGTGGTCAGGCTCGCTGACTTGGTTGATGCAGGTCATCGATCCCAATTGCGTGGATCGATGCTCATGATGTCAATCACTGGATTGTCTGGTCCACACTCGATTATTTACAGACCGCCGTCATATAGCTGGAATATTGCTGAGTGCGGCGTTAAACAACAAACAAACAAACAAAACAAAACCCTCCATACTATGCAATGCTACATACCCAGACATACATACATACAACATAACACCAATCGTTACAATGGCCCGGTCGCAGTGTCGATACGGGCAGAGACTCAAAGAAAGTCTCAAGCCCTAGAGACAGGGAAACAGACAGTCGTCTCTGAAGATGATCTTTTATGTAACCGGCCTTGGCATTTTCACTTCTCCAGCGTCCGTGTCTTTTAAATATTCGATCTCGTACGCCGTTGTTTGCCGCTGCTGACACCCCACCACTACGCAAGCTATGAAGCCCATAACTTGATGTTTCACACAAATGACGTAAAAGCGTCTATAAACAATTCTCTCAGGCGAGTGTAAGACAAAGGGGAGTCACATTTCCTAAGTTTATAACCATTCTTCGTCTTAGTAATGCTTCTAAAAATATATTCATCAGAATGAGTCAATATTTCGGATAAAGTAAAGTATTCTTCCAAACTTGTAACTGGACATAATTTTGGATTTGTCCTACCATTGACAATCCATGAACCGTCTCTGTATATGTCCGTTTTTGATTGTTCAATAAATAACATTATATGACAATGTCAGATCGTCTAAAGTGTTATAGCTCTTCTGATCTCAGGAATCCTGAATATGCTACAAGGCACATACACATAATCCTTGAATTACAAAGTGTAGGATTTAGCATGGTTACATCAGCTAATTTCTCTAATAAATTTACGGTGATCGGCTCCTTTTTAATTAACACATTTGGCCAGTCTTCTTTTTGCCGCTTCTAAAACATTTTTGACTAAACCATTCTCAGTCGGGCTTTGCAATCCTACTATCAAATGAGCATGGCGAATACTATAAAACGCAGTTAGCACAGGAGCAAATTTAAACGATTCACTCTGCTGAACAACAGACAGCAACTATAATGCGCAGTGTAAAGGTGAAATCGGTGACCTCGTAGCCATTAAACAAGAATTAGCCCACCGTTCCCACGCATCAAGGCCATATCTGTATTTCCTAGCAGTGGTATCCGCTATACAATTCGTCAGCAGATCAGGCAAACCAACCCCCTCAACCCAGGAGGTAACGCCTTTAACTCCTCTCCGTAAGCGCAAATTATCACATCTGTAAACAGAAAATGCACATTCAACATATGCTGAAATCAACACGCAGAGCTAGCATATCAACAGCAAATCTTGTTGTCCAAACAATCCGGAACATTGCTAGGTGCGGCGTTAAACAACAAACCAACCAATCAACCAACCACACCCTTCCAGCTGACTGTGAAACAAGCCAGAACCGCACATCCCGGGTTATAATACCTGGAATTAAAACATGGCAAATTAGCATTGTACCAAGATGCAAATCAACATCGTGAGGACCCCATCTTGCATCTATATGCTTAAATATGTGATTCGAAATGGACCAATCATTGTAGTCAACAATTTTACTCAACATATCTTCGGTCTCATTCTCTGAACGCGGGATCCACTGCATATTCAGATTAACATTTTGACTTGAAAACAACTTAAATAGGTCCATAACTATTCTTTGTAATTGCGGTTTCATACTACCACTATGGTAACCACATTTGGATTGTCTGTACACCACAATATATTACGATGTCTCTGTTGTGAAATAAAACTTTGCAGAACAAAAAACCGGCCTTGAGTTCGCACCATGTAGAACTATTTTAGCCTCCTCTTCTGACCACTGACCATGGGATTAAGCAGCATCCATTTCAACACAATACCCTCCATATCCGGTATCACTGGCGTCACTGTACACAACTCGACTCACAACTGAACTCTTGATCAGTGCTGTTCTCGACAAACGAGCAATGTTTTCTCTCCAATACTGTAACTGTTCAATGCTCTGTAACGACAATTTAACGTTGCTGTTCCACGATGAAGCTATCAAAACATCAATACTGAGAAATTTAGTCATTAATTGTAAAACCTTTCCCGTAACTAGTTTCATTGCTATGATTTGTCCGATAATCGCAGCAACACGTCGCACTGGTTGATAAGAGCGCCTATTCACTAAAATAAATGTAATCGTTTCAATCGCCTTATCTAACTTTCTCTGAGGAACAGATAAACACCGAGTGTTTGTATCCATGTGAAGACCTAGCCACTCAATAGACTGCGAATGTGAACATAGTGATTTTTCGAATTTGGGTACAAATCCAGACTTGATCAAATCTTCTTTTATAGCCTCGCCTGACGAACGTGTAATAAGTTCCGATTGAGCTGATAAAAGACCGTCATCTAAAAAGGTGACCACTTTCTTCCCTTCAGAACGGCATTTAATGACTAACTGGGGTGTAACATTAGAAAACACATAAGTGCTGAAGTTAAGGTAAGACATATTGCATAACACCCGAAGCATTTTTCCATGAAAAAACTAGGAATTCAGTATGGCCTTCAAACATGTCTATATGATGATATGCTGAATGCATATCAAATTTTATCAACCAATTGTTGACATTAATATATTCAAGAGCAGTTTTCCAATCTTCATTTTTGATTGACTTTTTGCTAACGTAATTGTTAACGCTGGACAGGTCTAAAATCAAACGCTATTTCGCCGACGACTGTATACACACCGAAAGAGGGTTAACGATGTACGGTGGAGACTCACATTCAATAATTAATTGTTTCTTATGCAATTCTAAAATAGCTTGGTTAACAAACTCTGCATGTCTCAACGCCGACTTGTTATTTCGTAACTCCATCTTTGGAGGCCTGGAAATAAAAGGAATTTTATATCCATTGTCTATATTATCAATTATGTATTGAGACGCACCAATATTGTACCAGAATTGAATGCAAGACTTTAACCGACCCTTCACTATGATTTCTGCTAATCCCTGTTCATATTCATAATAATCATTAGTAAGGGCAATATCATAATCATCAAGCATATTGTTTTCCGAACTACACTTAACTGACAAGTCTGTATCCTGCCTAAGAGGCACTGGATGCTGTGGCGTTGACACCCGTCGTAGCCCTGGTTATACTTCTTGTACGGTAGGTTGGTTGTTTGGTTGTTTGGTTGGTTGTTATTTTACGCCGCAATCAGCAATATTCCAGCTATATGACGGCGGTCTGTAAATAATCGAATCTGGACAAGACGATCCAGTGATTGATATCATGAGCATTTTTCACATTTACTCTCATACTAGTTAATTCACAAACTTTAAAAAAAACCTATCTTTTTTGCAACTTTAATGTAGTATCGGCAACTGCAGAAACATCGGCAAACATGAGAGCAAATTGATTTTTTGCATCAAGATATTGGTAGGTAGGTAGGTAGGATTCTGGATTCTCAGATCCCTGACAGATTCCAAAAATGGTGGGGTATAATATTGGGGGTATACTCAGATCTATGGCAGCTTCCATATATGAGGCAGATATTGGCGCTTACTCAGATCTTTGGCAGATTATCATATAATACGTATCAATAATTGGCAAATTCTAAAGCGCTAACGTCGTATAGATTCGTATATAGCGGCAGACTTCGATGATCAACGGCCCTCAACGTGGTGATCTCGGGATTATTTTGATCATTTCATCTTTGGAACAGCATCGTCGGTGCAGGGATTGCATATCGGTACTTTTCTTATAAAAAACGTTCCCCGACGTTTTATCATAGAAACATATTTCTAACAGCTTCCACACCATACTCTGATTCCAATGAGAATCTGCCACGGATAAGAACTGCTCAAAACTGCTGCATGAATTCTCAGCGGGCTAGCACCATAAAACGGGCATTAGACCGGGCTAGTACACGCAGCCACACACAGGACCATGTAACTAATAATAATAACAAACAAACCCGCAGATAAGGCCTCCCCAAATGGTTTTCTGCGAGTTTGTTGATTATCATTAATAGTCATATGGTCTTGTGTACACACACACACACACACACACACACACACACACACACACACATGGATGCACCTCGCTATATAAGTGCAATAATTTTGACTCAAACGAAATTTCACCTCACTGACAACTGAGTACATATATTTTATATCCATTGTCTATAATATCAATTATGTATTGAGACGCACCAATATTGTACCAGAATTGAATGCAAGACTTTAACCGACCCTTCACTATGATTTCTGCTAATCCCTGTTCATATTCATAATAATCATTAGTAAGGGCAATATCATAATCATCAAGCATATTGTTTTCCGAACTACACTTAACTGACAAGTCTGTATCCTGCCTATGATGCACTGGATGCTGTGGCGTTGACACCCGTCGTAGCCCTGGTTATACTTCTTGTACGGTAGGTCGGTTGTTTGGTTGGTTGTTATTTTACGCCGCAATCAGCAATATTCCAGCTATATGACGGCGGTCTGTAAATAATCGAATCTGGACAAGACGATCCAGTGATTGATATCATGAGCATTGATCCACGCGATTGGGATCGATTACCTGCATCAACCAAGTCAGCGAGCCTGACCACCCGATCCCGTTAGTCGCACCTTACGATAAGCATAGTCGCCTTTTACGGCAAGCATGGGTTGCTGAAGACCAATTCTACCCAGGATCTTCACGGTAGGGTAGGTACATTCCCGGATGTAGTGCGTGAACTCGCCGCAAAAATGGCACCCTCCTTGTCTCGAAACCTTTGACCCAAAAGGGCTGCATGAAAGGAACGCTATGCACAGGAGTAGTAGCAGGTAGAGCATACTGTACGTGCGGCGCTGAGATCGACCTGTGAGGAGCACGAGATCCATAAGGGTTCTTGCGATTTTGTTTCAATGTTAGTTTTTTGACAGCTTTTGATTCCGCTTTCACAATTTTCATGTCATCATCCGAATCTGAATCATTTGAAACATAATGTTTAACGGTCTCCCAACTGCCTTCCGACGAATCTGCAATTTTTATCAGCCTATTTCATTTCTTTAATTTCCCGATAGCTTCTTGCACACACCTTGACATATCATCATAATTCCCATTCTGAATGGTTTGTCTGGTACTAAGAAAATCTTCTAAAACTTCCGAATTAACATTAAATTGAATTCGATTTCCTTCCCTTGACCAAGAATATTCTGTTTCATTCTTAAACTTTTTCAAACCTTTGGCTTGCTGAATAAATTCTTCTCTTCGGTGAGAATTATTTTCCCACACAGCACTCTCAATATCTCTTTGATTAGTGTCCATTTTTTCAAAATGGCGTCAAGGTTTCCCGCTGTATATGGATCGTCTTGAGACATAATTGAACTTGACGCTTATGTTCAGTGTTACTGCCGTGCTGACTAGAGAGAGGGACGAGCTGCTTTCCACGCCCCTTATTTATACATATAACATACCAAAGCTAATTACCACCCTTAGCCATTTAGCAGTTTCTCTCTTATTCATAATGCACTCAACCTAGAGAAACATCATTTCTCAACAGACCACTAGGAAACAATTCAGAATGCACTATTCTGTATGGGACCAATTTTTATGTGGATTTCCAAAATCAAATGGAACTCTATCAGCTGCCTGGTAATGTTCACAAGTACAAAGAATAGGACTATGGAGAAACACTTTTGCTGCAAAGATAAATAACATTGGTGAGGCAGCCTATTTCTATCTAGAGTGATTGATCTACACCAACATTTAACTTACCTGTGACATAAGCTGAGGTAGAGCTCTACCACATTCGTCTAGTGCCATATTAATGCATGTAGTTTTACTAACTTTCAGAAAATATTTTCACATTTGTCTGAACATTTTCAGCAATTTTACAGTATGTTGTTTCCCAGATTTCTGACCAACAGCACAATATTGGTGTAATCATTGCATCAAAACTCTTGAAAAGATCGGTGCAATTAATATAACCTGCTCTCTTTTGACACCTGCATTTTGCAGGGCTTTATTTGCTTGCAATGCGATGTGGGACTGGTTTAGTCCAAACTAGTCTGGGTGTAAAAGCTATACCTAAATATCCATAAAATCACACCACCTCAAGCTTCTGGCCATGAAGATACCTATTCTCAGTGTCGCAGTGGGCCGCTCTTATGAAAGACCATAACCTTTTTCACATTTACTCTCATACTAGTTAATTCACAAACTTTAAAAAAAACCTCTTTTTTGTAACTTTAATGTAGTATCGGCAAC